GACCGCTTAATCAAATACGTATGCACAAGCCAACGGAATTTGGTGGAATGTATATCGCAAATGATCAAAATGTTCCTGGCTTAATCAGTTGACCGCAAAGGTATATAAGAAATAGTGATAAACCTACCTTCAGTTTGCCTTTCACGCCCACTAGCCAGTTCAGGTAATTTTGACATGCGCTCTGCTTGGCGAATTATTCCACACAAATTACGATATTTGTCTGGCAGTTTCCCTTTCGAAATTTCAGAAGCATTTCTTTTTGAATCCTTTTTTTTTAACTGGTGGAACGTAGTATGTTTCGATACACTCTTGTGGAAAAATAAGTACGATTTCCTGAGCAATTTGAGCATAATCTGCGTTAGATACTGACCTAAGTTTGATGGATGTGGCAAAAATTAAAACAAATAGTAAAAAATTTTGATAAACAATAAAAACATTCCTACTTTTCGTTTCTTATGAGCTCCCAGCAAATAATGTTAGTCAGTAGCGACTGATGAATAGGATCGAAAGACTTTTGAAAACATCCAATCTTGTGCAATGCCTTTCCAATAGGATTTGCATCCAGAACTGACTTTAAATTGAAATTTTTACCCAAATCAGATGCTCTTTCTCTTATGTTAGTGCTACATCCATCTTGATTTTCGTCATCTTGGGTAATGTTGACAAAAGTTACTTCCTGGGACTGGCTTTTGTCGATTGAAGAATTTGACGATCTCGTTCTTTTGTAACTGGTACGTTCCTCTTGATTTTCATCACTCGTGGTAACATCAATCACAGGCAAAATATGAATCTGTGCACTCGTACTAGCGGCGTTTAAATCCAATTCGGTAATGTTGTTAATCACTTCTTTTGATTGTCGGTGCATTAAATGTGAATTATGGGTTGATGTAGAATTCCAAGTATTGGAAAGCAACGTCTCAATTGTATTTTTATCGCCAGTCTGATTAAAAATTATGAAAATGTATAAAAGTATAAATTTTACTTTTTAGTACACGCGAAGATGTTGCTGAATTTCACAATTGCCATTGATAGTAATGTACATAAGGCACCGATAACTTTTAAAAATCGATAACATCCCCGACTAGCTGTTCGATCAAATGTGCAATAAAACTTTGATAAACATTTCTTTATTTTGTTCCTGAAAAGTAACACACATGTGATATATGTATATCGTAGGGTAATAATATTACATTCCTTCTAAGTAAGTACACTTGGCAATTATGCAAAAAAATAAAAATTATAAAACTGGCTGGTCTACTTTATTTTATTAAAGTATGGTTAAACATGGCAATGCAAGCGCTTTTTCTACGCATTTTGCTGTCAAAATGCGAAAT